CTTCCCGTCACCCCATAGCAGATATACTGCTACAGGGTGGCACGGGTGTGCAAAATCACGTATATATATATATGTGATTTTCGCATTTCCGGGTAGGGGGTGCGTGTGAAGCTGCGCGCTCGCTCTACCAGCTCCGCCATTCGCGGCAATGTGGGTTCCACTGTGGCTGATTAACACTGGCCCCCTGTGATCTCCGATGATCTCCGACGGGGAGGAGAACATAGCCCCCTTGTTTAAAACAGTCCCAGCACACAGTTAGCCCTTTGATCGCGCCCTCTGTGTTAACCCCTTCCTGCCCAGTGCCATTAGTACAGTATCAGTGCTTTTTTTTTAGCACTGATCACTGTATTGGTGTCACTGGGGATGTCAGTGACACCAAGTCAGTTCCCCCCGTGTAAGAATGCCTGCCACAGTGCCACAGTCCCGCTATAAGTTGCTGATCGCCACTATTACTAGTAAGGAAAAAAAAAAATTCCAGTATCTATATCACCATTCGTAAACACTGTAACTTTCACATAAACCAATTTTACACGTATTGGGATTTCTTTTTTCTTTAGCAAAGACATGGAGCAGAATACATTTTGGCCTAAATGTATGAAGAAATTTGATTTTATACATTTTTTTACTGCACTTGTTTAATAGTAAAAAGTAAAAAAATATAGTTTTTTTTCTCAAAATTGTTGGTCTTTTTTTTATAACGCAAAAAATAAAAACCGTACAGGCGATCAAATACCATCAAAAGAAACTCAATTTGTGGGAAAAAAAGGACGTAAATTTAATTTGGGTGCAGCATTGCATGACCGCGCAATTGTTAGTTAAAATAATGCAGCGCCGTAATGCCAAAAATGGCCTGGTCAGGAATGGGGGTAAATCCTCAGGAGGGCAAGTGGTTAAAGGCACCACATCCTTGAAGAAAATGTGACAAGAAACAAATAGGTTTCAATGCTGAAAACCACCCCTATTACAGTATCCTTCAGTGTGAACACAGTTTGTATGGTTTTTCATGAAACTTATCCAAATCATATTTTTAAAGGAGAAGTAAAGCCAAAGCTATACTTCTATAAATCAGAGAAGAGCAGTTTGTGTGAGTGCACTCCCGGTAGTGTAAAACAAGCCTTTGATGAATGCACTACATTAATTTCAACTACCCGAACAGGTTGATATCACCAAAACAACTATGGCAGAGCAGATTTCCATATATTAGGAGTCTTTCTTGAAAATTCAAAGTTGTATCATCAGTGTAGGCATCACAGTCAGTTAATAATCGGTTGCTAAAGTTGTGTGACACCACTTCCCTGAGTGCAGCTTACCTGGTACAATAACTCTGTCGACATTCCAGTGTTCCTAAGCTCTTCTGCAAACATCCGCACTGGCTCCTTTTCATCTTGCACATGTGCACCATGCCCATTCATTCCTTGGGTGAGTCGCATTCATATCAGTCTTCAGCAGTCCTGCCAAGTACACTTCTTCCCATTGGAATGAATGTGGCTTATGCTGAAAAGAATAAATAAAATGCTATTGCCAACCAACTTTTAAAATGCTTTTTGCCTGTCTGGTTCTTTCTTGCCATGAACAGTTTTGAAGCCTTTGGATCAGCATGACAGTCATGCAACCATCATTGAAGGACAAGTTTTTTATACTGGCAAAAAAGAAAGAACTTCTGTCAATTATATGTGCATGTACCACTCTGCATGTAGTATGAGGACAAGGTTCCCCTTGCAGCTGGGATTTTGGTGACCATCTGAGTCAGCCTGGTTTAGAGTGGCTCAAGGCCTTGCAGAACAACCACTTTTCTCACATAACTCACTAATTCAACTGTTATATTTTTGTATAAGAATTCAACAATATTGCAATAATACAGAGACTTAGTGGTGCCCATGGTATCCAGAAAACAGTCTCTTAAGCTGGCCATACACTGGTGAATTTTCAAATGCACATTTATAGGAATATTTATATTAACATTTGAAGTGCTGCCCCCTGTAGGAGCCGCTTGTATCTTGCCTAGGCTTTCCTCCAGATCTTCTCCCGCAGCCAAGCACACAGTATTTCTTATAGTCAGGTGCACACAATTACCACTCATTGCTCCAATGATCAGTCTAGGGGTTGTAGCTTTTTGGGGTTTTTATTTTATTTTAGAACTGGGATAGGGAAGGAATATAGTGGGATACTCTGAATCAAACTATTCACAATTGAGGAAGCTTTCTCTAAATAGATCCGTAGCAAACTGTACAAGGAATGGAGGAACGCTTTCCCTCTGCAGAAATGCAGAACTTTAGTGGACAATTGCTCTTCTGGACACCTGCCCCCTCAAGCTCACACCCAGCAGCTGACTATATAGATCCCAAGGGGGTTAAACAGCACAAATTTCAGCATCCATGTAGAACAGTCTGTACTCACAAGGCCCTTGCTGCAGGTCACCGTTCTCTGTGATACCAGACAGGATCTGTAGACATCCCCCTCAGAAGCACCCTGGGTTTCAGCATTCTGCCCCTTGGGTCACCTACAGCAGCATAAGCCAGGGAGGCAACCACTGTCCCTGGCTGAAACTCCCTTCACAGAGAAAAAGGAAGAAGAACCCAGATCATATGTGCTCACTGAATATAAATCCTAGTACCCGGCATGCTATAGGGCACCACCCCCTGTAATTGGCTGGAATGTAATCCATTTTTATGCTGCTGCTCTGCATGGGAGACTTCTGTTCACCCAGAACCTTCCAGTGTCACCTGGATACAGAATAGTCAATCACAGCAGCAGCACTGTGAGCCACGCAGGATATTCCCACTATAGCTTTCTGTTAGGCAGTAAAGCTGTTATGTTTTGCCTATCAGTCTCCTGTTAAGCAGGAGACCACACTATACTAAACTAGACTATATATATCCTAATAACTTACCTAGGAGGGTGCTACACACACATTAGAAAAAAATCTTTGTACATTAAATGGTTGAAAATCATTAAAAATTTCTTCAAAATTTAAATAGCTTTTAACCCTTGCTTTTAGAATGAAAAAAACTACTCATAAATAAATAAAATCCACATTCACTATTAGAAGTTTGTTCGATCGAGAAAAATGTTTCATCTTTTGAATTTTATTGTCACTGTGGTCGAAAATGAACATCGATTTGACCCTTCTAAGCATGGAGAGTTTATTATGCATATATTGGATAGATCACTAGATGGCAGTAGGGAGCGATTTTGTTCATGATATACAGTATGTTTCCTGTACTTATACTGTTCATAGGTGTATTAGCCAGTTATTAAATACTATATTCATTTTATATGTAATAATTATTACTGTTTTGCATGTTGCATCTCTCATTTGTAAGTAGGCTGCACTGTCTAGAGGTTCATTGCAATGTCACTGTCCCTTATCCAAGATGGCGATCGCCCGCCCACACTAAGGGCGGAGGGAGAGTATTTGGCTGACCTAGTCCAGATACCAAGTAGAAGATGGATTAAGATTCATGTGTGGTTGAACACTGAATAAGAAGAAGGAGAATATTTTTCACATGGTAGGGACATTTCACTGTACGGGCGCTGAAAGAGACTTTTGTTTTTCTTGGACTTTCTGGGGGGAAAGTTATATCTTTGCGTCTAGGGATTTATACATAGTGTGGTAATTATAAGGCTACCGGTTGTTTAGATATTTAGTAGTGCCACCCACCTGTGCCCAGCAGTGCCACCCACCAGTGCCACCCATCAGTTCTGCCCAGCAGTGCCGCCAGTCAGTGCCCGTCATTGTTGCATATCAGTGTAGCATCATCAGTGCCATCTCATCAGTGCTGCCTATCCGTGCCACCTCATCAATGCTGCCTATCAGTGCCCATTGAGTGCTGCCTATCAGTGCAGTCTCATCAACACACATCAGTGAAGGAGAGAAATTACCTGTTTGCAAAATTTTATAATAGAAACAAAGAAAAAATTTTTTTTTCAAATTTATTTGCTCTTTTTTTGCTTTTAGCACAAAAAATAAAACCCCCAGTGGCGATTAAATACCACCAAAAGAAAGCTCTGTTTGTGTGAAAAAATGTATAAAAATTTCATATGGGTACAGTGTTGCATCACCGCGCAATTGTCATTCAAAGTGCAACAGCGCTGAAAGCTGAAAATTGGCCTGGGCAGGAAGGGGTAAAAGTGCCCGGTAGGCAAGTGGTTAAATCCCAGCTCCAGGCAACTGTGCAAAGGGTATTTGTTCATGTTGGTTTTGGTCTAGGACAGGGGTCTCCAAACTGCAGCCCTCTGCATGGCTTTATGTAGCCCTCTAATGTACTAGGAACGCCAATATAAGAGGGGCTTAGAAGGGAGCTCTGATGAGGACGCTGATGGGCTCAAGGTCTTTGGAATTTCTTTGCTTTATTTTACTTAAAGTGTTCCTAAACCCACAACAGTAAAATCAGTCAGTATATGCAGTAAAGCATGCTTGTTCTATTCACTGTGGAAGCTAATTAATCCCTGCATTGTGTAAAAACGCTGTTTGATCCTGACTTCTCTGATTCTCCCCTTTCTCCAGTGTCCCCCTCTTATCTCCTGATAAGACATATTGTGTGGAGTCACTCTGCACATGCTCAGTTTGGTGTGTATTGCTATAGAGGGTTTTTTTTTCCTTTGTGGGAGAGCATGTGATCAGCACAAAGCCAATCAGCACTGTCCAGACAAAGGGTCAGGGGTCATGCAGACTCATAGGACAGTCAGAGGAGAATGAAACCAGTGCTCAGATGAACACTGATAGAAGTCACACAACTGCTATATACTGCTGATGAGAAAAAAGGTGTTTAGCAGTTTATATTTACTAAAATACTGAACTAATTGCATTTTCATGTTGTGTGTACTGTGGGAGACCAGATATAGTGAAGGCAGGGTCCTGGGCTTAGTAACACTTTTTTTTTAATTCAAAATCACATGCTGATTAAAAAAATAAATACATTTGATTTTTTTTTTGTCTGCAAACATTTGTACAATATACGATGTGGTTCTCATACTGAAAATATTTTGTTACCTGATCCTCTGATCCTCCCCGCAGCTAGGCCTGTTAACCACAGCTTCTCCCCCATGCTCCAGCAGTCTAGAGTTCTGACATCAAGACCAAAGCAGGTTCCATAGCCCTGCATTGGATGTTGGGATTCTGAGAGACAGTCCACCACTGTCTGCAGTAGAAAGAAAAGGAAAATGAAAGCTTGCAGATTGCTATTATCATCATTTATATTATTCTTTGGCTTCACAAACATTGATATGCAAATACCATTTTTACCTCTGCCTCCTCTTCCCCTGTGCTTTGGGAGCTGTCATACAGACCAAGGCCAGTCTACACTCTGCTTTATTTGCATTCAGGCTGTCTGCAGTCTGCACTGTATGGTTTAGAGCAGTGGTCTCCAACCATGGCCCTTTGCTTGCCTTTATCTGGCCCTTGGGGCACTATTCCTCCAACTGACACCATTGATGGGACAATATTTCTCCCATTGACTGCAATGATGGGGCATTATTCCGCCAACTGAAACCAATCCTGGGGCACTATTCCTCCAACTGACACCATTGATGGGACAATATTTCTCCCATTGACTGCAATGATGGGGCATTATTCCACGAACTGACACCAATCCTGGGGCACTATTCCTCCAACTGACACCATTGATGGGACAATATTTCTCCCATTGACTGCAATGATGGAGCATTATTCCACCAACTGACACCAATCCTGGGGCACTATTCCTTCCACTGACACGATTGATGGGGAAATATTTCTACCACTGATACCAACAATGGGGTACTATTACTTCAACTGACACCAATTATGAGGAATCAGTCCTTCTGCCGACACCATCGTTAGGGCCCTGTTCCCCACACTGATATCATTAACGGGGCACTACTTCTCACATTGAAACCAATGATAAGGCATTGTTTCCTCCAACTGATACTGGTGCATCTTCTACTCCACTGGCCACAGTCTGACCCCCTAAAGCCATAAAGGCAGTAAGCAGGTCCTTTGCTTAGAAAGTTTGGAGACCCCTAGTGTAGACAGCAGCACACCTAAAGCCAGGCATCCATGGGCCTGAATGAGAGAAAACCAATAGATCCTTCCATCCCCAATAAAATGGATGGATGGAGGAATAATCCTTGCTGGCTATTGCAGGCAGTCAACCGCTGCACCTGTGGATGCTTGACTACTCAAACTTTGGCTGCTTCTGATTGGTCACTGTTCAGCTGACAACCCGGCTCAGTATGTTTTTCAATTGAGTGTTACTGAGCCGGGTGGTGCCATCAGGGCCACCCACAGCTGGAATTTCAGCTGATTCAGCAGGAATCAGCCAAAAGTCAAATTTGTTCATGGCCAGCTTAGGCTTCATGCACACAGGGCATTTTTGCAGCCAGTTTTAGGGGCATCAGGCGGTTTTTTTTTTTTACTGCTTCCAAATGGCCTTCCATGTTATCCAATATGTCCATGCACACATAGACTTTTAGAAGCTTTTAGTAGCAGTAGTGTTTACAAGCAGTTAAAAAACCCCAGGGCCAGTGTATCCAGAAGCAGTAGCGTTTGGTCAGAAAAACGCTTGATGCAGAAGCTTAACGATAGGCGCATTTAGTGCTTGAGCTTTAATTTATATCAATGGCCAGAATAATTTAACATTCTGGCCAATGATATGAATTAACGCCCAAGCGCTTGACGCCTTCAAACGCGTTAGACAATGTTACAAGTGTCAGGTGTGTTTTTTCTGCAAAAATGTTGAGTTTCTTGATGCGTTTTGCAGTTTTTTTGCCAATAGGAAAGTATTGAGTGCGACTTTGATGCGACTTTACACTCTTTGGCACTTAAGTCGGATCAGTGTCTCAGTGACTTTGAAAAGGTTCCTGCACTATTTTGTCGCTGCTTTGATAGCCAAAGAGTGTAAAGTCGCATCAAAGTCGCACTCAATACTTTCCTATTGGCAAAAAAACTGCAAAACGCATCAAGAAACTCAACACTCATGTTTATGATGTTGTTCCGTTGAAGTGTATTGCTCCAGAAATGCAATCTGCTGCAGGAAAAAAGTCCCTGAAAAAAGTCCCCAACCCTTTCCAAAAAATGCACATATGTGAACAGGACTCCTAGGAAAAACCATGTTTAATGGACTGCAGTGCATTTCTGCAAAAAGCACTACAAAAATGCATAGATGTCAATCAGGCCTAAGATAAGGAAGGTGACGGATCCCTCACACAGGCATACGGCCGGGCTCACCCACACAGGGATGTACAGGTGTTCTGGGTGTCTCTGTGCAGGCAGTCTCATTCATGTCAGCTAGGAGGCAGCGGCTGCACAGACACAGTTGCTGCTCCTAATTTGATATCCATGTGGCGGTAGATGCATGCAGGTCCCTGAACACAGGCAGTGTGTATTTGGGCCCATGATCCCCTATTGCCCAGGGGCCCCATGAGTTGTCAGTCCGCCCGTTTTCAGGGCATTGTAAGCCTGAGATTACAACAATGTGTATTTGTGTTTGAGACACTCCCTGAACCTCTCCCCCTCTGCCTTTCTGACATCTTTCTGATGGATCTTTCTAACTTGATAGCTATCCACAAGTGTTAGATAAGGCTGGCAAAAAATTAAAGTAGTTTCTGGGGAATTCATTCCATTAAGGAAAAAATAACATCACTTTACTTCCTCTGATGTGGATACCTCCTTCATCTGCTCAGAGGTGAAGTAGCAGAAAGGGTTTCTGAAAGATGGTAGGTTTTTGTTACAGCCAAGGGGAAGAAAGTTTTGCAGGTATGCAAGCACAATTTTAGTTAGCTATTCTACAGAGGTTGATTATAATGATAACCTGCGCTAAATGTGTCACAAATAGTGAAACAGCAGCTGACAACATACAATAAAATGATAAAAACAGTGTGCAGCGTAAACGCCCCTGACGATGGCTTCTTATGACGAAACGTGTAGGTTAGAGCTACAGCTTGTGACGTCATCACGCCATGCACATGCTGAGTACATTTAACGTTTGTAAGTGAAATATTCTTAATACATTTTTTAAAATACTACACTATGAAGAGGTCTTGTTCTCTTTACATACATACAATTGGGACCTTTTGCTTATCCTTGTAGTTCTATACTGCATTTATGCCATCGAGTGAGTAGCAGTGGAAAAACTCTGGTAAAGAAAAGCGGTTCTGAACTCCTTGCCTTCCAATATACTCTATATATGCTATTTTGACCTCATGACCTTTGGTAATTTTTTCTGGTAGGAGGCTCTGAGTGTTGGTGGTGGAGGATCTCTTTCTCTACTTTGTGGCACAGTTTCTTCCCATGAATATGGATTTTATATAACTTTTAGTCCAACACCATAGTCTTATTTTGAGGACTTTATTTGATTATATATATTTTTTATTATATGTTTGGGGTTTTTTTTTATGTTGGGTGAACTTGCGCTGCATACTGTTTTTATAATTCTACAGGGGTTGCATGAAAATTCTGCTTTAATTATATAGCACTGTAAAACTGAAGGACATGTTGGTGATACGTACCATATCCACAACCTTGAGCTGCCCATATGCAAAGGCTATAGCATTAGGTGGTGTGGCCACTGGTAGCATGAAGGCTAAAGAGGAGGAGAGTGTGCATGGAAGCATTATGTATAATGGATTCAGTTGTATTGCTTTTGCATAAAAAAAAAATAGAAAAAGAAGAATGAAGAGCAGTAGAGCCCAGAGTTCAATTTACATCACTTTACAGTGATACTGATGATTTCTGATTGGTTAACTGATATGCTAATTAATGTCTTCTTTAGCTTTGCAATTTTTGAAATAAAATGGCTACATGTCCTCAGCCCTATAGCAGATATACTGCAACAGGGTGGCAGGAGTGCGCAAAATCAAGTATATATACGTGATTTTGCATTTACGGGTAGGGGGCACGCGCCCTACCCACGCTGTTATTCGTGGCCACGGCTGTCAATCACCAGGTCCCTGCCAGTGATTTCCTGCCGGCGCCCAGTGATTGCTGAGGATCTCCGACGGGGAGGAGGGCTGCTTTGTTTACTAACAGTCCTCCCTGTCAGCTGACACCACCCCAAAGTAAGCACTACTTACAGACAGACACAGATTGGAATTTTTTTTAGCAAAGACATAAAGCAGAATACATTTTGGCCTAAATTTATGACATTTGATTTTTTAATTTTTTCCCATGTTTTTTCCCATGACATGTTTAATAACAAAAAAGTAAAAAATATAGTTTTTTTCTCAAAATTGTTGGTCTTTTTCTTTTAGCGCAAAAATTAAAAGCCGCACAGGCAATCAAACACCACAGAAAAAAAGCTCAATTCATGGGGAAAAAAGGATGTAAATTTAATTTGGGTGCACCGCTGCATGACCGCGCAATTGTCAGTTAAAATAACAGCGCTGTAACAGAAAAAATGGCCTTGTCAGGAAGGGGGGTAAATCCTCTGGAGGGCAAGTGGTTAAAAGCAAACACAAGTGCTCACAGGCACACATGCATATGTGAGAGAACGATTAGGATACCGTAAGCACATTAACTAACACGAGTCATTTAGATCTATTATAACTACATTTAGATCTATAAAAGATGAACTTTGATTTAGTTTTCCACTGACCTTTCAGTTTGCAAACATGAATGAGTATCTAAAACCAAAGTTTTTTTATTTATTTTGGATGGAGTAGGGGATGTTCTCACAGCCCGTCAGATGTTTCTCCTGTCTCCTGCAGGGGAGATTTCACTTCTTTTCCTGTCCTGGAGACACAAGAGGAAGTGAACTTTCTCCATAATGAGAGGAAATCCCCTGACACTTGTCAGGGGAAAAAGGTGCCCCATTGCCACATTTCCCTTCACTTACTGGTCCGGTGACAAATATAAGGCGGTTTGAGGCGCAAAATATGGTTCAACATAAAATCCTGTGGTTTTTCCCTGCTGGGAATAGAAGTGAATTGCTCTATGCAGCCTTACTCATGTATATGCCAACACTTTTGTGCACACGCATGTGCATATGATATATTTCTCCAACATAGAATTTCTGTGTTCAGGAAATATGTCATACACACCTGTGCAAGATAATATTTTGACTATATAGCCCATGTGCATGTCGCTTAAAGTGGATTTAAACTGATCAATACTCACCTTTCTAAAAGTTTCTTGCCTGTGCCTACATGTTCTCCAGTGTGCCAG